CTGTTCGGCTCAGGAGAAACATCCTGTCTGTTTAGAATATATATAGCTGTTTACTCTGCATTAATAGCTCTCTAACGTCTTACTTGTTCATGTTTTTTATTGGGTTTTCAACGTTTACTACCATTCCCCGTTCCCGGGCTACCATTAAACCATGTAAACACAGCATATCTCCCGTACCGACAATTTATTTGTCGGTCCTCTAGCGTGCCACCACATCAGAGTCTAGAGTACCGACAATTGTCGGTACTCTAGCCTTTACGAATAAAATAATCCTGTATTGATGTTTCATTAACATAATCCAAAAATAAATAATGTTTTTAAACTCTATATAGGCCTCTACATCCTTAGTTTCTGGAATTAAAGTAAAGAATGGCATGTATTATTATTAGGAGTTCAAATAAACAAATGGTGTAAAGTTAAAGAGTTCTACTTAAAACATTTACCTCATAACTAAGTGATGTTTCTTCACAGAATTCCAAGCTTTCCATATTCCAACAGGAGGAATGCTGAATTTTGACCATAATACCAAACAAATAACAATTCATATAAGCCTAAAAGTGATCGGTTTTCATTGCAGAATGTCTTAGAACACCAGACAACTGCAGAGAAGCTGATCTTTGCCCTTGCAAATTACATATTTCATTGTTTACGGCTTAGAAAGATAGGAAAAAAGACAAGGAAACACTGATCCTTTTCTCTACCTCTGGGTAATGTTCATGGTGAAAAGCAAATACTTCTGACCTTGCAGAAAATTTCAATGTGTACCCAATAAAAGCAAAGCATCTCTACCCTTGCAAAATATTAAAATGTTACTTGCAAATACGTCTTCCTCTACAGTTATGATAATTTACCTTTAAAATGAACAGTATAACATACCAGTTTCAATAAAAATAGCAAGAACACACGTGGCAAGATTTCCAATTTATATGTTAATGTTGGAAGATATTTAAAGGGAAGCTATCACGAATGCCATAGTGAAGGGTGGCGATAACCACAAACTGTGAAAATTGAGTCTAAAAGTCTCGAACATATCTGGAAAAACATTTATTTAATGATGGACAACTATCACCAGTAAAACGCTAGAGTACAACAGATTGAACAGAAGTTAAATTGCAGGTCCTTGAATGATGTGCATCTTCACACTTTCAACAGGCTGGGTTGTTTTTAGATTGGGCAATATTGCGGCTGGGTCAGACCTAATACATATACAAGACAATGAAGATCCCCAAAATATACTACCCTTTTTATGGTTTAATTTAGCTTCTTAAAAGGAGAGCTTAGAACACCCCCCCCCCTCGAGTCTTTAAATAATCTTTTAATCTTCCCTAACCTAATCAAAATACTGAGAATATGTCAATCGAAATCCAGCTACCCAATCAATATTGCAGTTACAGAACTTTATGCATTCATAACCACCTCTCATTTATTTCAAGTACAACCTTCAATTTAAAAGCCATGAGAGCTTCTTTGAGAGGGTCATTAGAAATTAACTGCATCAAAAGTATAAATTCTTATTCAGAGCATAGTTGTTGTTAGTACTAGGCTTTGTTCCTCAGGGTAAAGAAGATCAACCAATGAATCAAGTTTCTTATGCAAGGATCAATAGGTCATGAATGTAATTTCAGAAAAAAGTAATATTTTTCCCCAAAATATTACACAACTCATCTTTATCATGATTATCCACATTTGGCAGACATATATCGGGGGTGGATCTGGAAACCAACAAGGGGGGCCCAAATTTCAGGTCAGAGAAAAAAGTTATTGGCCTTATTTTGGAAAAAAATAGTGGGCCCAAATTTTGAGGCCCATTTTCTTCAAAATTTGGCCTGAAATTAAAAAATAAGGCCTTTTTGGCCCAAAAAATATTTAGGCCCAATTTTTTTTCTCGGCCCACCTAAGGGGGGGGGGGGCAAGTTCCCATACCTCAATTTGTGAGATAATACTACAAATGTAATTGCAAAATTCGTAAAAAGGTATGCGCTCCACCTTATTTTCACGGATGAACCAATAAGATTATGAGACGCATGCGTAATAGCATGAAGAAAAGGAATGGGAAGTTTACTTTCATTACCCTGGGTTCATTCCCCGGGTTCATTCCCTGGTATATACAAGGTACGCTAATTCTTAGACTGAATTATTAAGAGTTTATCTAAGAGATTTATTGATAGAGCACAATTATGATTTGCCTGCATCACAAGTTTTATTTGGCACAGATAACCTATGACTAAATTTGGCACTGGCTGCTTCAAAGCATTACATCTATTAGATTCCCGGTAAAAATTTATAATTTTTAAAATAATTGTTTCGTACTGTGTAATTTTCTATGATGAAAAATTCGGTTTCACTTTTCATCAAATAACATGTTTATTAGTTGAAACGTTGAACCAATTTTAAGTAAATAAGCAACTGTAAGATACATACGATTTGAATGTCGTCTAATGCAAGTTGATGCTTCAGGTAAACGGGAAGTAAAACACTTTTATGTAGAGAATCTGTCGTAACGTGCTTCCCTCTCAAAACTGTACTGGACTACCAGCGTGACATCTATCGATCTTTCCAATCAAGCGGGACAATCAAGAAAAACACAATTCTGTACAAAGGTTGAGATTACCACATACTATAATAATGTGGGGTGCGCTGAAAACTGAAAGCTTATATATTCGTAAGCAACATCATCTAGCCTTCAGCTGCAGCCTAGAAACTAAAGTATCCAAGAACCCATTGATATCAAGGGCGGATCTGGGAACCAACAAGGGGGGGGGGATTCTTGCGTAGAATAAACGCCCGTGCTAGCGCGGAAATTTTTTTTGGGCCCCTGAAACCAAAAAGAGGGCCCAAATTTTGAAATTTAGAGGCCCATTTTCTTCAAAAGTTGGCCTAAAATTAAAAAATAAGGTCTTAGTAGGCCCATTTATGACCAAAAAGGCCCATACACTTTTTGGCTCAAATTTTTTGGGCCCAATTTTTTCTCATCCCCCGGACAGCTCATCCCCTGGACGACTCATCCTTTGGCAATGTTATATTATCAATTCATATTTGATTCAAATGATTTTAAATGTTTTGGTTATATCGTTAAATCGACTGTTTCTATACGTCCCCTAATAATGCAAATTAACTTAAATCGTTTTATTGGAATAATAAGTACTTTGAATGATAGAATTTGTGATTGAGTGTATGTCTACAACAAAAGAAATTATTTAAATAACAATTATTGACATGTGGTTGGTACATGTTTGCAATTGATGTGTGGTTATTGTTTGCAATACAATTTTCAACGGTTGCTTTTGCTTTTGTGAAGTGTGGATAAAAGAAAGCAATTATCAAAGACACTACATGGTCCCCACAAGTGATGGAACCTCCAAAGAAGTTGTCACACGTGATGATTTGACTTTTTTACAAGACATACAGAGTGATCTAGGGACTCCATCTGTAAAAATCAAATAAAAATGAATTCAATTCAATTTTTTCGTTAATAATACAAGGTATATATAAAATAATATCACAGGGTGGCTATTTCATTTAAGTTCAATTTGCTAAGGATTTGGAACAAAAAAAGAAAGTACCAATGCCAGATGATAACGAGGAGTTAGGGCTAGATTTAGAATTAGATTCAACCATGGGCAATGGTCCACGGACAAATGACAAAGTTTAAAAAAACGTACACTGGCAAACAAATATTTTCTTTACCATTTCAAATATGTTGCCGTCCATAAGATTCGTGATAGCCTATCTGATAAAAGATATGGTGAATTTTTACTTTTCCTTGAACAAAAATGAACTTTTGGGAAAGTTTTAGAAATAAATATTACAGTTAGTTAATTAGTAAAATATTTATTAAAGTCTCACACTGTAGTTAATAATATACATACTAAAATATCATACAATAATTAACAGTCCCGCCGGCTTCGGCGTATGAGAGACTCATAGAAAGATACTACGTAGTATGCGCTAAAATATTCTAAACCTTAAAATAATTTTGAATCCGATATTGCCTTCACAGTGAAAATTGTTTTGCCGACTGCTTAACACTACGTGGAACCGTTGTAAATGAGTGAAGCCGGTCCTCAGCTGTTTAAGTGGTTTGAACTTGAACATAAATAGTTGCGATGCAAGAAAATATGTTTTTAGAATGTATAATAATTTGAATTGGAATATCAACAAATATATTAACGGGTTTGCCTCCAGGTGGTCAAATATATATGGCATTCTGACTTGACCAGGTTGTTTGTATACTTAAAACTTCTTCCAAGGCCTCTTAGGGGAGGCATCAAAAGTTCAATGTCTGATAGGAAACTAAATAAATCTACTCAGGGGGGGGGGTCAAAGTCATTTCAGTTTGCTAACCAACAAATTTCAACACTTCAATATTCTTGCAATTTTGACTCAGAATGCCTTTGAATAGTTTTAAAATAAAGATTTTACCTGTTGCTTTCTTCATCAAGCAACATGGAATCCGGGCATGGAATAGTATGCCCACTGGTTCACATGTTTTAAGAATTCTAAAAATAATGCCCTCGCGAAAGTCAAAGGCCAACGAAAGTCAAAGTCCAAGAAAACACGCAAAAAGTTCGCGATCAACTTTCATGGTATTTAGTTTTGGGAAGGGGGTTAAACTCAAAGCTAGATTTTTTAGTTTCCTATCAGACATTGAACTTTTTATGCCTCGGCCCCTTATATTCCGTAACTTGCAATTGGGCTAGAGACTCAAGTAAGTTGTGACGACCTTAAAATTCTGCTTTGACAAGTTTGGTTTGGTCTATCCCTGTAAATGATCACACGTCATTCCTAGAAATTGTAAATTACAACAACTGAAACAGACCCAAAAATAAAACACTACACTTGTGAGACGACCCCTCGACTCATGGACACCTTCTGATATTTGCACCATAGACTACCAGTCCCGTCGGTTGATGTTTTTTTACACAATCCGTTTTAAGTGCAAAATGACGAACACGCACGGAAAAAACATAAGTGAACACGCGTGCATGTCATTGAAATAAAAATAGCGGTAAATTCAGTTTGCGTTTTCACGAGCTTGAAAGAGGACATCGCCACAGAGACATTCAGCAAAACCAAGGTGAGTTACGTACCTTTGCTTATGCGCTATATTATATGGATCTTTTTAGTCTCAAGAATGCGCTCTTTTTCAAGAATATTATCTTAGAATTAAATGGATTCTGACGAATTAAATCCTGGGAAATTAAAAATGTTATTAATTATATTAGAAATGTTTTCGTTATATTTTTTAACCAGTCTATGAAGAGTTTTGAAAATTTTTATTTCATTAAAATTTGGGAGGGTATTATCATGATGATTGTTCAATAAATTATATGTAAGGGCCGATGTGAATGACCGGACTAAGACTCTGGACCTGACTGATCAAACAAAACGTCTTGTACATCACGATAAACCATGAGATCTCATATCTTCTCAGCCCTGGTTTCTCAGGTGAAACAGAAAAATGTTATGAGTATCAGAATGCGTCTTGTACGGAATTTAAATTGTTTAGGACAAACATTTTAGGAAAAATTTAAACACAAGTAATCAGTAATCATATTATAGTAGTCTAAACATGGGAGGCTGGGATCCCAAAATTTTTACTGGATAAAGCATTCCTAAAATACAAAAACATTTGTTTAAATCATCATCAATATTCTTTATAATTACAGCTTTTCAAAAATAATGGTCAGATTCTACATGATTCTGTATGAGTTGTTCCGTCCCGGCTACTATAGACTGACAGATCTGGACTTAAATATTAATCAAATGGATGACAGGGGGGGGGGGGGGGGGGCTGTCTGTCATCAATTTAATTCTCACAACTCATAATTCTTAGGGGATGGGTTAAAATAGCCATTGCCACAACTAAGAAATTGTCATGAATTTTGTTAAGAATGTAACCCAAAATTTGATAATTTTCCATAATTAATAATTAGAATAGTTTTAACAAAATATACAATATATAGTATATTAAACATGTTTTCTGTAAATGCCCAAATTTTTAAAAGCTATCCTGGGAGTTGATAATAGCATCATGACCTCACCAAAAAACATTAAAGGCCACATGTAAAGTTTTAACAACTTAAAGTCTTACCAAATGTTGGTACATGTATGTGAAACATTTCAATTTAATTACAAAAAGTTGATTTAGAAGAACATTTTGTTCGAAAAATTGTAAATTTTTTTCAAATAAAATTTTAGTTCTCAAATCACAGATTGAATGGTTGAAATAATATACGTTTTGCCCGGTCTATTAAATGGAATAAAGAAAATAAGGTGTTACAGTGTTTTCTCTGAACCATTTTCATGCACGGATGAGTTCTTATCTCTCTTATATATGAATTTTCTTTTTTTTTTGTCAAAAACACATGAGGATGAATGTTATGCATTGGTGTGAAGTATCGCATATTAAAAGATACATGTGACCTCTAAAACTAAGTTTTAAATAAATTCAGGATTTTTCCAACAAAAATTCCTTCAAAAACTATTTTTTGATATAAAAAAAGTTTCACATATCACAATTTGATGACATTGGGTTAGACTAAAATAAAAGCCAATAAGTGGTTTAAACTTTATATGGGGGCTTTAAGTGTTGGATTTGATTCTTAATATCTAAACTTGTGTTGCTAAAATGGAAAATTCAAATATTTGAAAATTATAAGATGAACAACTTATTCAAAAAAGGTCACATTTTTCAAAAAATGTCTCCAATAGTTTTTGAGTCATGAGAAGTAATATTTGAATGGTTAAACCATAATTTCAAGCTTTGAACAGCAGAACAGGGCCTTTTACAGATTAACAACTACTGCAATTTAAAGCAATGATACAAAAATTCAATATTATATGAACTTCTAACCCTGTAACCATCCAAGTAGTCTAAAGGGTGAGACATGCCTTTTTATTCCCGTTTACCAATTGGTAAACTTCTTTTAAATAATGCACTCTTTTCAGATCATAAGGCTTGAGCGGTTATTCACTGGAGAACTTGTTGATTTGAAGAACCACGGATGTCACCAGGAGTTTTAATACTTCTACTGCAGCTGGTAGTTTGTGCAGATGGTAACTCAGAAAGAGGTAATTTTCTGTCATCTTTCTCTCATTTCAATGGGTGAATAAAGAATTTGTGCAATTTGTTAAATAATTTCACAATCTACTAACAATCCAATAAAGATGGGGCACAGAAGTGATGTCATCCGTTTTTTTAAAAAGGACCTTTTTTCAAACTAAAGCCCATTTTTAGAATAAGGCTTTTTTGGGGACAGGGTGCACCCATTTCAAGTATATAATAATTATACATAATTATGTATTTCAGGGCCAGAGAAGTTGGTGTTTGCAGCCATTGGAGACTTTGGCTCTGGAACTATCCTCCAAGAATACATCTCAGATGCTATGGCAACATGGGCCAGAAGAGCTAATGCTGATTTCTTCATCACAACTGGTGATAACATATACCCAAGTGGTGTTAGAAGTGAGAGAAGCCATTCTTTCAATGTCCTCTGGAACAATATGTACAGTCAACCGTCACTGCAGAAGCCATGGTATATCACCCTTGGTAACCATGATGTGCGACATGGGAGGGGAATTTATCAAGTGAGGTATTCAGCATTGAACTCTCGATGGAATCTCCCGGCAACTTACTATGAATTCACTAAACATGTTGGTCGCAAAACAGTACAATTTGTCATGCTGGACACAAGCAATATTGTAGGACGCAAACGAGGTCATATGACACAACTCCGCTGGTTACGGAAAACATTGGCGACATCTCGTGCTGATTGGATTATTGTGTGCGGGCACCATCCAATCTATTCCACAGGGGAGCATGGTATATCAGCCGCCTTATATCGCTACGTACGTCCTTATTTGGAACATCATAGAGTCGCTTTGTACATTGCTGGTCATGACCATAACATGGAGCATATAATGGTAAAACGTAACTCAGAGACTGAACGTGTTGTTGATTATGTCATCAGTGGAGGAGGGGGCGCACTCCCCAGGAAAGCTCGCAACTTCAATGGTCTCTCAAAGATGAGAGAAAGAAACCTCCATTCCAGTATAATGATCTCAAAGTTGGGCTTTGCAACATTTGAACTGACAGAAACTCGATTAAAAGTGTCATTTTTAGATCGTCTAAGCAGAGATTACTACATATTTACCAAAGGTAATCCAAGGTCATGATAAATTATTAAGGTTAAGGCATTGTCTCAAGTATGTGCAATCTCACAATTTGAAAGATTAGAAATCAATAATACATGACCATCTTACTAAATTTGACAAGTACATGTAGTACTGTCACTGCTACCCACCTAGTTACACAGACGTATCGTCAGTGTATCATGGCGGAACTACTTCCGGGATGTGAATTTGGTAAGATATTTTTATTTCTCGATTTACATCTACTTATAAATCACGATGTGGATTATAATTTGGCTCGAAGACGATACGTCTGTGTAACTAGGTGGGTAGCAGTAACTGTAGTTTTATTGTAATTTCCATTATTGTACTGTGTATAAAATAATTTGTATATACTGTAGTGATTGTAAAATGCTTAGAGCTTAACTACTGCTTATTGAGACTAAAAATATGAGAAAATATGGAAATCACAATACATGAAATTACAATACCAAGTTTTCAATGTATTCAAAATTGTAACTGCAGATGGTTTACATTAAGCCAAATCAGAAGATTGAAATGAAATGTACTCAAACTACATAATACATGTATGATGCTTTTAGCACCTTAACTGTTATAATGTTAGCATTTCTGAAACAAACTTTTGTTCGGAAACTGATTGAACACTCTATAATGTTGAAAATGAGCTTAAATATGAAATATTTTCATATATGAGCTTGAAATCATAGAGCAGCAGTTATTGCCAGACAGACAGAGCAACTTTTTTCATTCATATTGTTCCTATAACAAATGTTATGGGGTCATTTGTTCTACACTCATCTTACTCATCCTCCATGTGCAGGACTCGAGACAACATTGAATCTATTTCTGGAAGAGGGAACAGCGTGATTGGTGTCTGTAGCCCTGCCCTGGGGATGTATTTTTAGCATGTATCTTAGGATGTATCTTACGAGAACTTTTACTACACAAAAATATTGTTTTGTCTTTTATTGAACTGACACAGTATAAATAAACAATTTGTTACACACAAAGAATTATGAGAATACCTTAGTTTTTAACAGATTGTAAAATATGTAAAAATAAAATCAATTTACAACACCAAGACAAAAATTAGGGCACATTCACTGAAACATTGAAAACAAAACAAATATGCTTTTGAAAGAACAATTATCAACTTAAAACAACCATTTTAAATTACATACAATAATCACATCAATTTTTGAATTGGTCAAGTTGGAACATAGAAGAATACTGAAAGCTCCAGTAAAAATACTTTTTGCTGTTTCGAAATGACAAATATAAATTGAACACTGTATAAGTTACATATGTATTTTAAAACAATTGAAATCATTGACTACTATTTTATGAAAATCACATCAAGCAAGATTAAGAAATACATTGTGGTCATCCTACATAAATGACTTCACATCTGTTTTACACCGTTTCAAATTCAATCCTGAAAAATACAAGTTCTATTTTCAGACCTGGTTCAAGGAAAAAATTACTTAACGAATACAGTTCTAAGGAACTGGGTTCAAATATCAATTTTTGTTTTATTTATTAACAAAGGATTATATCTCCTCTTCACCTTTGTTGACTCATGGACCTATACATGATGACTTGATGTAGAATTATTGTACATGTAGTATAAAATTTTACTCTTTTATCTAATATGTGTAAAAATGAAACTGATATTTGACCCACTCTTATCACAGGTACAGGTATATTTTGGTCAGAAATAAAATAACAAATGACTTCCTTGAAACATATTTTGGGTCATATTTTCCCTGATAAACTGTGTCTAGAAAAAATTCATTCTTTATGGAGAATATTTATCTGGTATCTAAGGTATACACTCAAACAATGAACCCCATAAAATCTTATACAGTTTTATGTGGTTCCAATTAGATTTCTAATAGGACCTGAGCTGTGACATCTTAAATCTATATATCTGATGGCACTTATAAGACATTAGATGGACGTTTGTGGTTATTACTATGAGCAATTCATAACACTTGCCTAATATTTTGTAACAGTGATCTCCCCAGGTATTTTTTTAAAAGCGGCAATGTCAAAAACAAAGTAACTTTTTAGTGCCAAGAAAGTAAGTATAGAAGTGTCTTTACCTATATGGGATATTTTGTATCGCTCTCAAGTAAAACTGTGTTTTTTGACAAATTTTGGTAATATATCATGCAGGGTGAACTAATGATTTAACTGGGCTAAAAGCTTCATTCAGGCGCTATGTACTAGGTGCAAACAGGGTGGTCTAAAGAGATCAACTGGACCAGCGCCTGGTCAAAAGTTACTGGGGAGATCACTGTGTAATACAACTTGATAGTACTGCTTGGATATTAGTTTTTGAAAGTTAAGGCATTGTCTCAAATATTGCATACTTAATTATACACACAAGGGATATTTCAATAAGATTTGAAATAGTGTCATGGGTGGTAAAGTGGAATATATGGATATCCTACTTCCAAAAAATCTGTTTTGTTAAAAAAATGTATACATTTAGAATAAGTATAAAATATTTGAGACAACCCCCAAGGAATTGATCAATGGTCAATATTATATAGCAAAATATGTTTGTGTGCAATATGGAAATATTGTCACATCTACGACACCAGTTCACACATCGATTCACCATGTTTCGAGTTGAGCCAGTGTCTGAGGAACTAAAGATGTTATCCTTCTCAGTCCTATCCCAGAGTTGGTTAATCTCTTTGTTAACTGTAGATGCTGCCTTTGAGTTTTCAAAGTCAATGTCTCATTGATTGCATAAATATCAGCATATCTGATGTATATCCAAATATCTGATTTTGTGATTATATGTACACTTGATTTCATTCATAATTATAGTGGCCATCTTTATTCACTCGGCTCCCGTCGAGAGTGAATACCGAGCGTACAAAGATGAATTAGTGGTCCCATTGTATAACTCCTCCTCTCTTGTGCATCATTCATTTCACTTATGATTAATACTGCATTATGTCTTTATATTATATCCAAAAGATTTATACATTTTTACATTATGTACAAGTGTCACTCCATTTAATATTGCTATGATGCCATTGGTGTTCTATCTTCCATAGTTCTATTAGGGTTAATATCCCATGAATATGCCATTAGCAGATTAAATATTGTCATGAAGTGTGCCGGCAGGAATATATATGCTGTATAGGTTGACATTATAAATACCAAGACCAAAGTTGTAGCTGGGTTTCTGTTAAGAAAAACTTGCAAGTGGTTCTATAGTTACAGTCTTTAAAGATTTTTCATCCATTGAATATAGAGAAGCAAGGTTTACTAGAGTTACTATATATTCTGGGAGGAAAATGTAGGCTGTGTAGATAGACATGATCGACATCAACACTATAGTTGTAGCTGTAAACCATGTTAAGAAAAATATTAAATATGTATCATTCGAACAAAACAACTACAAATCTGGAGTTTTAGCTTTTTCTCAGAGCTCCTTACCATAGGCTGAAAAAACCAGTTAGCTGTTAACAAAGTCAGTAAATCATTTTTCTGCAAATTCCTTTTACTGGTACCCCAGCTCTGATAAAAGTCAAAACTCCAACAGTTCTGCTCAATATCAGAGCTGGTGCAGCCCGTCTAGCATTTCTCTGCCTCGGAATGTAAATCGAAGCCCTGACTATGGGCAGAATAGGTCTGCCTACTGGAGATGAACAAATAGAAACTGTCACTAAATCACAAATGGGAGTCAACTTTCTTCTGAAACTTGACAGTAATTAAACAATAATTGGTGACAGGATCAAGATTGCTTACTCTTGTGTGGCTATTTAGCCAATTGTCTATCGTTTTACATAACTGAGATGCTTTGTAATTGATATCGATAGAAGAAATGGTATCCAAGATTGTTCTGAAATGCGATAATATAGTGCTGATACAAAATAATAAAGGGGAGTTTTCAAACTAAACAGAGTGCTCCTACCAAAATGGATTTGCCTACATAGCCTTGAGACTCAGATAGAATGCACAAATAAACCAAACGTTTTGCTCCTGTATTATAGGTAAAAAGTTCTCTTAAATTTCGAAGTGATTTTACCTATTAATTCTGTCATTGGTCCGCCATTTTTGCGGAAGTTACACTGAAACACAAACTCCATGAAACGAAATCACGAGAAATAAATATGGCACACATCGTGTGCATGCGCATTAAAGTTTAAACCAATCAGATTATTTGATTATTTTGAGCGCAAGAATTATTTGCTTCTGAGCACTTACCATAAAAGCTAACCATAATAAACAAACCTGGCGGAGATTACCCTTACTCCATTTTAGCGAAATTTCAGCTCAAACTCGTGACAAGTACTTATGCATACGCTGGTATGAAGCCTTGGAGACACTCATTTTGGTAAACATGATTTACGGTGTATACTTTTCTGCAGTTCGTGGGAGTTTGGGACATAAATGTTTAAATTCAAGAAAATATGCCAACTATACGACTTATCGATTATTTGTATCAGCATTATAGGACTACAACTGTAAAGCCACTAAATGTACTTTGAACAGAGGCTCAACTGAAACAGAGGTCAACTGAAACATAGTCAGAGGTTTGAGAGAAGATCTCTGACCAATTCTTCCATCTCAATTGCACTCAATATATACTCACAAAAGTAAAACATTAGTAGTAAAGTTACTCAAACGATAAAGATATATCGATGACGTCATTTTTAACATTTTTCAAAAAAACTGAAAATCAGAAAATATTTCAGAATTCAAAACGAGAAATCTGAACAAACCCGTCAATATTTTTTAAAATATTTTTAAAAGGATACTGAACACAACTCTCTCCCATGGTTCTAACATATAAAGTGCTGTATTGAGTGTATATTGAAGGTATAAATACGACAAAAAGTCCTTGACTTTTTTTATAATCTCCATTTCCGGTTTTAATCCAACAGCTGACACTCGTTAGGAATATTTGGGGACCTATTTGGGGACCTATCATTTCTATATCTATATCTATATCTATAATTCTGGAAGAAGGATAGTCCTGTATAATCCAGATCTTTTTATGTATTATTTTCATATCATGTTAGGGGGGCGTTGTTTAATTGCTCACTGGACATGGGTTAGTTGTGGTGAAGGAATTTCTGTCTCATCAGGTGCTTGTCAATTCCATTCAGTCTTGAATTGATTTATATCTGTGGTGCCTATTACAGATTGGGGAAGATTGTTCCATGTGTTGACGATTCTATTTCCAAATACATTTTTTCTTACATCGAGTCTGCTATATCTATGGCTTAATTTTTCTGTATTCCCTCTCGTCATCTTATTTTCTGATTTTTGTGCAATGTCCATGAGTTTGATTCTGTCATAACCATTCACTATCTTGAATACTTGTTAGGTCACCTCTAGTTCTTCTATATTGGAGGGAGGGGAGTTTAGTTGTTTCATCCTATCATAGTAGCTTAAGTCTTTTAAGGTTGGTACTAACTTGGTAGTTCAACGTCGTTAAACTCAATAACGGCGTTCTTTATTATTAGGAATTTTCTTGGGGCCATTATTGAGTTTAACCTCCATGCTATTCTTTCCTTTGATGCAAGTTGTGGATCTATCGAAACCACTTTTCCTCGCTAATATGACACTGATACTTAACAATAATATAAAATCACATTTCATCAGGCGATTTCACATAATATTATTGTGTTAAATGTTCATTTTTAATCGTAAAATGAGTCTTATTCTTACCAATTTATGAGACGAATATTTCAACCGGCAATGTCTGTCTGTGCGTCGCCAAAGTAAACTTGGTCAGCGAAACGAAA